CATAAACGCACTAGTTACACTACTATGCCATTTTTCTCTGCTCGTTTCTTCATAAATTTGCAGCGGCAATTAGGTTTCAGAGGAAATATATAAAAACCGTGAATCCTGCCCTACCTAGTTACGTTCAGTCCCTTCATTGGACATACATTTTTTTCCCTTAGATATAAATATATAATCTTAAAACATCTTTGCACAAAATGTCACAAGCCTCGTCTGAAAGACAGTTTCTTTGAGGAAACGTCAAACGGAACCCATTCTTCCAGAACGGATATTTCCACACGACACTAGGATGTTTTGTAAATAGTAAGTTACCATCATGTCTAATTGTTGAGAATCCGTACTTCCTCCGGGTTCCTATTTCTATATATCTGACGAGACAATCAAATCACGTCACCTCCGTTGCTAATGATATTCGGGCCAAAGTGTCATTGCACAATTAAACTTTCATCAAGAACGTACCTACCAAATCTTTTCTACATTTAAACACGATCAAATCACGTCATATCCGTTGCTGATGATATTCGGGCCAAAGTGTCGTAACACAATTTAACTTTCATCAAGAACGTACCTGCCAAATGTATTGCTCTACATTTAAACATGACGAAAGACGCACCCCTCCCCCCAAAAAAATCAACTAGTGACGTCATAATGACAACAAAGTACCTTAAGTTTTTTTTATAACAAGCGATGCGTATATTCTGCTATGTTTATTTAGGGGTCATTGTACTGGCAGTCTAGATTTAAATTATGAGTCCCTGGACGTACTCTTCCTCTTTCCCACGCCAAGTCCAGCCCCCTTAGGTTTGTTATAATGACAATTACTTCTGTTTGCTTGATAAATAAATGACTTGCTTAGTTAACTCGAACACCAAAATCCTCTGATTGTGTTCTTTACTGCTTGCCTCACTTCCCTCATCTTCCAACAGTACAGAAATGGGTTAAGTGATGCGTTTAACAAAATGAGAGAAAATGTCACATCCAAAGCGAGGTAAAGATCTGGTAGGAGAAGTCCAGTGATAACAAGAACAGCTACTGCAAAGCCAAATGGGACATAAGAAACAAGAAATATTGTTTGCACCCATAACGCACTGGACACCGTCTTCTTGTATCGTGCCATATTGATTCCAATCCCTCCTCCGTTCGGTTGTCCTTGGTGGACCTGGTCTTCTACTTGACCTTGATGTTGGCGAAGTGTGAGATATATTNTCCTCAAAGTCACCACCTGTCTGTATCGTAGTCCCAACTTCACCGCGAGAAGTCTGTCCACACTTATTGCAGTTAGCGTAACCACAGATACTCCGCAGAAGATGGCACTGGTGGTACTTAAAAATAATTGAACATAATAACAGCGTTTCGAGTTTTCTGAAGACATCAAAAAGGCAACGAAAAGAGGTTGTGTAATGAGACCCACGCAGAGGTCAGTGCTCGCAAGGCAACCTAACAAAAGCTTAGATGGCGGATGAAGGGACGATGGTTTTTGAAGAGCAACGATGATCAGAAGATTCGTCAAAACTGCAGTGACGCAAAGAGGAATATTCAAAGCTGATAGAACTATCTGTTGTTGTCTTTCGATGAGAGCTGACAAGCAAATAGTCAAGTTCACCATTTCTCTTGTAAATCTCTATTTCCTTTCCAGGTTGGTCAGGAAATAATGTTCCTTTAGTGTGGTTACTAAAATTTTCTGTTTAAAATCTTCCCATTGTCTGTCCCTAGAATAAGGTCGGAAAGCACTGCATTAAGGCTTTTTCCTGAAGATGAAGAGAAGACAGATTTTTAGTATAGAAAATTGTGATCCAAAGGGCATTGAAGACACTTGTCACATGTTCAAGGAGTAGTTTTCCATTTCTAGTCTATAATTACTGACAAGAAGGTACCCATTATTACTCGTTTAGTCGCAATTCTCGGTAGTCAGGGAAAAATATATATAAATTTAGATAATCAAGCGAAGTTAAGATGTCATATAAGAAACTCAGTTACAGAAGACACAATTCGTGGCACTACATCTAATCGAAAATAGCAGGCTTCCCCATCAATGCCGTTACCGAAACCGCTATATCATAGAGTTTATGTAATCACCTTAGTATCTCAAGCAGAAACTGAGATTCTTACCACAGTTGTGTTATCACATTCTAGTAATCATTGAAAAGCTTCAGACCAGTTTCCGTGGTTGATAATTCGATATCAAGTTTTAAGGTATATTGTGATGAGTGTTACATAATCTGCTTATGTAATTCTATAAATTTGGTCACCTTTCATGTATAGTCGCAATATAGATGTAAAGACGCTTCTGGAACTTTCTAAGATTTACATAAGCACAGAAACTTGTGAATTTAGCTCAATATTCATTCATTATTACTGTGTATGTGTTCGAGGAATAAAACTTTTGCCAGCCGGAGTAGTTAACATTGAGTAGAAACCTTTGTCAAAACGTGAGCAAGTCGTGAATTTGAATCCACAGCGGAAAGCTTGAATCTGTTTATGTTTTATAACTAGCTGTATTAGTGGCAGTCCTGTAGGATGTCAATTTTACATACTTAAAAGCTTTTACTTTACCAGTTGTGAATGTGCCAGTCGATCATGGCTGGATCAAAAGACACCGCAGTAATTGATCTAAACAGTTAAGTTAATTTCCTGACAAAGTCTCCCTTTGAGCGTTTTGGTAAATTAAGATGCAATATCATCAGTGCTAGATGAGATTATATGATAAAACCATTAAAGAATAACAGCTGACAAGGTATTTAACATGAATAACGCATGGGCAATGTTGAAAAAAAACAAAAAACAAAAAACTAATAAACAATTTGCAGCCGAGCTCAAAATTCAACATCAGATTCAATGTTAGCTCTACACTAGGTCAGGTGATATTCTAATAAAGTCATTGCACAGTAAAACCTAAGGCATTTGACATGAAAAGGTATGTGGTGATCGTAGACAAAATGTGACTAATAGTTGTCAGCTAAGCTTAAGAAAACAGTCGGGAAACTTTAGCTAACGAAATTAAAAGGAGACACCTTTACAGAGAAAACCTGGCCCGATGAGAACCCTCATTGCACACCTCAAATTATGAAAATTTAAACAGCAAGGAGTTCATTTTTTCCCAAGGAATTAATTTTCGTACTTATAGCAGATATTGACTTTAAGAAGACAATCCAGGATTTTCCTGATTCTGAAGAGTAAAACTGTGTATGATATCTTTCCGCTGGTTTCAAGACGCCGCGTTGAAATTACTTCTTAGAATTTGGACGTACCTCAACATAATGATATAAAACACCGTGATGATTCGCTCTAGCCTCAGACGACGATCGAATAGTATCCCATGATGCATCTGGTTTAGGGTTAAATTATCACTGCGTACGTGACGTCATAATTTATTCCGCGCTCTCGCGATGAAGCCATGGCGTGCTTTCACACTTGTCGGGATTCCGTGGCTTCTGCTTTTAAGAGTACCGAGTTAGTTTATATTCACTGCGTTTCAAGGGAGAATTTTGCCGTTACAGTGAAGGGGTTTACTTGTGTTTCGTTGGTCTATCGAGAAATACATATAAGCTATGTGGAAAG